GTTCCTGAGGCTGTGACGAGCTGCCCAGCGTCCACTGATGGTGGCTGACGGTGACCAGGAGCCCTGGCCTCAGTGCCAGCCTCGTGCCAGGGTGTGATGCCCAATGCTGCCTCCAGGCAGGGGCTTGACAGCAGAGTGCTGTTGGCAGACGCGGGCACACAGTGTGAGCACCCTGCGCCTGCTGGGCATTGCCAGCCAAAGGTCCCAAGTTGTCGTAGCTCCTCCAAGAGTTTCACTGCTGTGAGAGGTGGGATGAGACACGGGGCAGCTGTCACAGTGTTAGAAAAAGTCTGTGCTCCCCAGGATGGGCACAATGGGTGTGCGGGCACTGGGCACGCACGTGTGGGAGGCACAGCCATGCGCACGGGCAGCGATGCTGCTGCTCATTACGTGTCCTGCGAAAACGCGTTCCCTAATTCAGGTTAACACAAGCATCGATGACTGGAAGACCACCAGGTGGAAGGACATCAACGTTGAGCAGATGGATATCGATTGTAAGAAATTCGCTAAAGACATTCAGAGCTTGGATAAGGAGATGAGGAGCTGGGACGCGTTCACAGGGCTGGACAACAGCGTGAAGAACATGATCAGGTCCCTGCGCGCCGTGAACGAGCTGCAGAACCCGGCCATCCGCAACCGGCACTGGCAGGGGGCCAGGTGCTCCCGGCCCTCCGGCCCTCCCCTGGCTCCAGCCCCCGGCCCGGGAGGCTCCTGAGATTTGCACCCATCAGGGGAAGCATCCGATCTGTTTTAAAAGCCACCCATAAGCAAATATTTGCGTCGGGTCTTTAAACACGGATGTTAACGAGCTCGTCTGGGCGAGCCGCGGGGCTGCCTCTCTGCGGAGGGGAGTCCGTGCCCCGACGGTGCCTGTTCTGCTCCAGGTGAACTTCACCATGTCCGAGGACACAACGCTTGCGGATCTGCTGCAGCTGAACCTGCACAAGTTTGAGGATGAGGTTCAAGGCATTGTGGACAAAGCCGTGAAAGAGTCGGGGATGGAGAAGGTAAACGGGGCTCGGCTCCTGCCCCGCTTTGCTGAGGACCCTGCTCCGATGAGGCTCTGTGGCTGTTAGTGCCCGTGTTCCTGCTCCCGGGGGATGGAGCGCACATGTAGCGCGGCACACGTGGAGCTCATGCTCCAGAGGAGACATCCCTGCTGCTGCCTCACCTTCCCACGGGGTCTGGGACTTGGCACCACAGAGTCCAGCTCATTTCTCACGCCCTGTGTGCAGGTGCTGAACGCCCTGGACACGACCTGGGCAACGCTGCGGTTCGAGCATGAGCCCCACGCCAGGACCGGCATCATGCTGCTCAAGTCGGATGAGGCACTCATCGAGATGCTGGAGGACAACCAAGTGCAGCTGCAGAACCTGATGACCTCCAAGCACCTGACCTTCTTCCTTCAGGAGGTGTCGGGCTGGCAGCAGAAGCTGTCGACCGCCGACTCCGTTATCAGCATCTGGTTTGAGGTGCAGAGGACATGGAGTCACCTGGAAAGCATCTTCATCGGCTCTGAAGACATCCGCAGCCAACTGCCAGAGGACTCGAAGCATTTTGACGCTATCGATCGAGATTTCAGAGTGCGAAGCCAGTCCCCCCCGGGTCTCGGGAGCTCCCCACCAGTTCGGGTGGAGCTGAAGCATTTTTCCTCCTGCAGAAACTAATGGCCGATGCGGTAAAAACTCCCAATGTGATCGAAGCCACAAACAAGGCTGGTCTCTACGGCAAGCTGGAAGGGTTGCAGAAAAGGTGAGGTTTGAGTCCTGGTGAAGCATTACGGAGGGATGTCCACCGGCTGCTCTGGGGCCAAAGGAGGAGTCGGATTTCTCCAAAGCGACGTCTTCCTCAACACGGCAAAGAGTAAAAACTAATATGGGGGGTATAACCGCGGCTTTTCTTCGCTGGGCTCTGTAGATTGGCACTCTGCGAGAAGGCTTTGGCTGAATACCTCGAGACCAAGAGACTGGCGTTTCCCAGGTTCTACTTCGTGTCCTCTGCAGACCTGCTCGATATTCTGTCTAACGGGAACGAGCCAGCTGAGGTACGGGCTGAGCGTGCAGCGTGGGGGCAAGTGCCGCGTCCCTCACTGCTGACTCGTACAGCACTTTTGAAGTATTTTTGATCCTAACGGGCAGAACGACGTCCCTGGTGCCCCGTTCTGTCGGGGAGCGCCCTGGGAGTCGTGCGGGAGTTAGTTAATCTGAGCGGTGATTATGCCTCTGAGCGGGATGGGGGTCCCTGACCCCCCGCCGTGCCCATCCGCAGGTGTCCCGGCACCTGCCGAAGCTGTTCGACAGCCTGGCCAAGCTGCGCTTCAAGGTGGGTCTGGACAAACAGCCGCTGAAGGTCGGCGTGGGGAT